AGTTTTCTCACTAAGGAATTGCATTCTGTGTAGTGACTAAATACTTTTAGATGCATGAGATTTAGCTGTGGTTGAAATTTTTTTTTGTTGCCCACATTGTGGCTAGTTACAAATCCACAAATAGGGGTGTAAACGAGTCGAGCCGAGCTCGATCACACCTGGCTTGAGCTTGATGAATTAATCGAGTTCGTGCTTGAGCTTGACCTTTATTTTACAAGTTCAAGCCGGCTCACGATCTGAGCTTGTTTATTTTGAAAGAGAGAAAATGATTAAAATTCAAGCAATTATTATAATAAAATGGTAAAAAGAATGAAATTTAGAAGAAAAGAATTAAAAATCACTTAATATAAGAAAATACGATATAATTTATGAACATTTAAATAAATTTTTATTTGAAATTCTAAATATTAATATATATTTTAATTACATTTTATATTAATATTCTTTAAACGAGCCAGCTTGCGAGCTAACAAGTCGAGTCAGGGCTGCCTCAAGCTTGACTCATTAGCTTATTGAGTTCAACTCACGAGCCATTTATTGAGTCGAGCCTGATTCGGTTCATGAGTTGGCTTAACTCACTTACACCCCTATCCATAAACCTAGTTGAGCTTTCTTTTGGACCAGTGAATTGGCCTCATCATTTAAAAAAAACATGTATGATCTTTACTAGGAAATTCAACAAAATTTGATCATTAATTAGGGAAAATATAAATTAAGTGTTGATTCACATGAGAGGTTTGTTGAATTTAATGAGGGAGATGGTATTAGTGAGAATGAGCCCAAAGAGATTTTCTACTTGAACTTTTAAGAAGCTGACTACTAGATGGGTTGAAGCATATAAGATTGGTAGAAAAAGAAATGATAATGCTCACGAGCCTAATATTCCAATGAATGTTGGAATCTTTATAGTATTTAGTGTGATAGACTTGACTTTGTGACATGGAAATGCTACCAGTTACATCAATAATGCTTCTGGTTATAGTTTGCCTACTATCATATAGGTGGATTCTATGGACGCATCATCATCACCAATATCTTTGTTGACTTATCCTTCTTGTTCTCGTTCATATCTTTGGATGACCAGATCGTTTCTATCGTAGATAATGGACTCCAACAGTTTCTTGTTCGTTTTAAGGGTTTATCATCTCATGAGAGTTGGTGGTTGGCACATAAGGAACTTTAACAAATTTCATCTGATCTGCTTCAATAATTCAAGAGTTCCATTCACCATAGATGAATTTTCAAAATCTGGGAGAGTGTATGCGGTGCATTGTCATTGGCATTGTCTCAATCAACATTAATATTTCGTTTAGATTTCATATATGTAAGGAGCTTTTCACATATTATTTAACGTTTGTATGATATTTGACCTTTTGTAAGTGAGTTTATTTATATGCTCGTCTGTGTAGAGATTTATCACAAGAGTTGGCCAAGCATTCTCACATCGACCTTATTTATCTCCTCCATATTGTTATCCCCTCAATCTTAATCATGACTGTAGTCAACTTCCCCATTTTTCTTGAAAAACTCGAAACTGCTTATCTCTTCTGTGTCTTAGTTATGGTTGCTGTCCGCTTTTTATTTTTATTGAGAAAGCTCAAATTAAATAAGCTCAAGCTATAATGCATAGAAATGGACACGAATACGACACAATATGAACATGTGACACTTAATTATTGAAAATATAGAACATGGATATTGGTTGGACACAATGTTATAATATTCATATCTTACGCACAATGTATAGAAATTGAATACGCATGATATTAAATATAATTGAGAAATAATAAATCATTTAAATAACATTTGTGCTTAAAATGATAAGTATTCGGGTATCCAGAGTCGAGCGTCGATGCATATGTTAGACATCGAGAGGGGAGACGACAGTGCTGTTGAGAGTTGGGCATTATTGTTGTGCAATCAACATCGAACGTCAATGTTGAGATGTTAAGATGGCGTTGGCTGTCGATTTGAGACGATGTTGGACAAAGATGAAATATTGAGACAACACGAATGCATAATTGTGGGTGTAGAAATTGATGGTGTTGAGCGTCAATGTCAAGACAATGTTAGATTTCAATGTTTTGATGGTTTTGAAACGTTGATGTTGTGCGGCGTCAGCGTCAATTTTGAGATGATAGTGGGTATTGTATTGAAACCCTAGCTGCGGCCCACGAGAGAAATGAAATGGAAATAATAAAAATGAAAAAAATAAATAAAAATGTAAATAAAAAAAAATGGAAATGTTCGTGGAATGATGGAATGAGTGCAGACATTTAATTTGGGGTTGTGGAGAAGATAGCTTACATTTTTGTAAAACAACAACAACATCAAGCCTTTGTCCCACTACGTGGGGTCGGCTACATGAATCCTTTTTCTCCATTGTGTCCTGTTAAAAGTCCAATTCTCGTTTAAATCTAATGAAAAATATCATTTCTAATATTTTCTAACCAAGTCTTTTTAAGCCTACCTCTACCTTTCTTAACATAAAATCTAATACCTCTATTTTCCTAACCGGGTTATCGTAAGGCTGCCGTTTTATGTGACCAAACCATCTAAGGCGACTCTCTCTAATCTTATCTTCCACTGGAGCTACTCCAACCTTTTCATGTATATGCTCATTTTGTATCCTATCTCTATGGGTAAGACCACTCATCCACCTGAGCATATCCTCATCTCTGCAACACTTAACTTAATATTATGCTTCTTTTTTAATGGCCAACATTCGGCACCATAAAGCATTGCTGGTCTCACCACCATCTTATAGAATTTTCCCTTAAGTTTGAGGGGGGCCTTTTCTATCACACAACAAGCCCGATGCATTCCTCTACTTCAACCGTCCAACTTGAATTCTGCTAATAATATCCCCATCTATTTCACCATCACTCTGAACAATAGAGCCAATGTATCTAAAACATGTGCTCTTATTAGTGACTTGATCACCCAAAGTCACAATCTCCTCACTAGGTCTATTACTACTAAAATTACATTCAATATATTTAGTTTTAGATCATCTCAAGCAAAAACTTTTAGACTCTAAGGTTGACCTCAATAATTCAAGTTTACCTTCAACTCCCTCTCTAGTTTTATCAACAAGAATAATGTCATCAGCGAAAAGCATACACCAAGGTACATCCTCTTGCAAATGTCTAGTGAGGACATCCATGACTATAGCAAAAAGATATGGACTTAAGGATGATCCTTGATGTAATCCAACCAAAATAGGAAAATACTTGGTCAAACCACCTTGTGTTTGAACACAAGTAATAGCTCCTGCATACATATCTTTAATGATTTGAATATAAGCGTTATTAACTCCTTTCTTTTCAAGAACTCTCCATAGCACTTCTTTGGAACTTTATCATATGCTTTCTCTAAATCAATAAATATCATATGTAGATCCTCCCTATTCTCTCTATATTTTTTCATCAAACCTCTCAAAAAATGTATAACTTCCATAGTAGACCTACCCGACATGAATCCAAATTGATTTTGAGAAACATTAGTATCATGCCGCAACCTATGCTCCATAACTCACTCCCATAGTTTTGAAGTATGACACATTAACTTAATTCCTCTATAATTGACACAACCTTGTGCATCAACTTTATGCTTAAAAATAGGAATTAACACACTCATTCTCCACTCACCTGACATCTTTTTAGTCTTCAAAACAATATTAAAAAGTTTAGTAAGCCAAGAAATTCCTTATCTCCTAAGCATTTCCCATAGTTTACATTTTTGTAATAAATAAAAATTTGGAAAACAAGAAATTGTATTGATTATTTTTTTTTATAAAAGATTTAAGACACGTGTGTTGGATGTGCGTGTCCAATTTATTTTTAATATTTTTTTAATCGAACATATCTTTGTCGTGTTCGACACCTATTGGAGTTGTGTCGTACATTTCGTATCCGATACGTGTCGGATCCTATATTCCTCTTTGAGGAGAAGTGTTGATACATCATAGGCCTCAAGTAACTTTTACTATCTCCACTTTCATAAGCCTCGTTTACTTTATTCTTAAATTTTTAAAAGCTGCATTTATTTCTATGTTCTATTTTTCTAACAATTATTCTATTCCATTCTTTTTTTTTAAATGAAACATTCATTCCCTTTTCCCCTCTTGCAATAAGACTTGAGTGTGGTACACATTGGGGGTGTCAATTTATGACATGACCCGAAAACCCGAAATGGAATCAGGTCGGGTTCAACTTCTAATTTTCGAGACGTTTGAAAAATTGGGTTATGTTTGGGTTAACCCGCTAACCTGAAAATGACATGCAACTCGCCCGCACGTTCTGCCCGGTTGCCCGCACCACGTCTTGCTGGCTGACTAGTGCATCCCGCATGCACCTGCGCGTTTCGCCCTCACCACACTGCATTGCATCGCACCATGTTGCGCTGGCAGCCTTGCCCCCGTGCCTTGTTGCCGCGCTTGTGTTGCTCTCACACGAGCGCTCTCCCCCGCGACCCACGTTTGACCTTGCCAACCTCACCTATTCGGGTTCATATTTATGACCTGTTTGCATAATCGGGTCAGGTTCGGGTTGGATCGGTCAAGGGTGAGTCAGTTTTGGGTTGGGTGCAAATCCGTCCTGAAAACCCTAGTACACACCTTAATGGTTGAATGAAAGTTGTTGAGTGCTGATTTTGAGTCAATTTCATTTGGACTTAAAAATCAAGCAAGTTTTGAGTTTTGGGTATTTTAGCATCCCTGAATATTGATATCACCTCAAGTCTCTTGAGTTAAAAGATTAGGCAGTTATGATGTAGAAATTTTACATTTGTATTATTCAATAATATGATATTATGGAAAGTTAAAAGACATTTAAAAAATAAAATAAAATTAGGCATTCTATGGCATGTGGGATTTGTGCATCATGCTGTACAAAAAATAGTTCTCTGTACTCTTCCTATGGAGCTGAATCACTTTCTCATGCATCAAAATTTATTCTACCCTAAATGTTTTGGTGGAGAGGATAACTTGTTTTCATCAGGTTTGTGTGAAGATTGGTCGGCTGATGGATCCAAGTGGACTAATGTAAAGAATGGGACGTGCTGCATTTGCTGTGATGTTCACATCGACTCGCTTTTGTACAGGTTTCCTGTTCTCACCCTTTTCTTTGAATTTTTCTTCTCAATGATATTTGACATAAAAAAGGTAGTAAATAGATTATGTCCTTAGACAAATCATTAAAATAGAAAGTATCTGATAAAAAATGCAAGATATACCCACCGTTGCTTAGCTTGGTTGGTTGGCGAGTACGGTTGGGAACCCACCCCCAACTTGTGCTCGATTCCTCTCGAGCGGTAGTGCCTCTTAAGTAGGGGCCCAATCAAGTGCGGGCCAGGAGGTTTCTGGGGTGGGTGCCCTTCTAGGTCATGCGTGGATTAGTCACGCCGCCAAGCGCCCTTTCAAGGGTGGCAGCGGGTGGATACCTCTTATTTTATACGTGAAAATTACTGTTTGCTTTCTGTTAGCAGATGCGGGCACATGTGCACCTGTTCCAAATGCGCCAATGAGCTAGTTCGAACTGGAGGAAAATGCCCTCTTTGCCGTGCTCCGATTATTGAGGTGATTCGAGCTTATTCCATACTGTAATATAAATTCTTAGAAACCGATTTTAAAAGGTTCATTAAAAAATGAGGTAAAGAAGCAAAAAAAATAAGGTTTTTTTGGGAGGTGTTGAGATTTTTGTCTACTGGAAGTGTTGGCCAGTTCCTCTCTCTGGGCTGTGTATCTATTAGTTTGTCCGCCATTTTTTATTTGCCTCTTTGTTCATTGTCCATAATATTATAAAACATTTTAATGTTTCCTGTGTACGATGAGAGAACACTGTAGCTTTTTTTTTTTTTCTACTGGTTGACATTACAGAAGAGGGCAATTAATGAAAGAAATGAATTCTTTTGCTTTATGTTTTGCGACATAACATTGACATATGTCCAAATTTGTTATATGTTGTGTTCATTTTCAGCAATCTTATTGAACTGATGCGTACTAAATCGAAGCCTTCTGGGCGATGAATTATTACGTGTAGAGACTGGACACAAATAATCGTCCGGTTTATCTCTGCGAACAATAAAAGCTCAACAAACTGCGTTTTTTCTGTTCATCATTGTGCTTTTACTGTTCACAGAGATCAGACATAAATAACCGTCCGGTTTGTCTCTGTGAACAATAAAAGCTCAGCAAACTGTACTTTTTTGTTCATCATTGTGCTTTTAATGTTCACATAGACAAATTCAAATGGTTTTCTGTGTTCGGCCTCCGCACGTAATAATCACTCCTTGGCATGATAGTTATACACTTTCAAGTTCAGAGTGAAGCTGTGCCAATCTTGCATTAGAATCGGCTCATAATAAAAATGAGGCAAAATATGCGACCTGGTTGATAAATGACTGTTTACTGTTTTAAGAACTTGCTTAACCCACCATTATTTGTGATATAATTACCTTAGAATGGTTTGTTTGATATAGATGTGAGAGATTGTTTGGAATTTTAAAAGTATTTTTATTATTCTTTCATTAAGTAATAGCAGTTCTATTGAAATGATTTCGTTGTGAAATTGCTGTGATTAATATAGACTTCGCCAGCTAATCAAGCAGTCCAATTTATAAATTTATTTGACTTTTTTATTATTTTTTAAAATAATTTTTTAATATAAAAATTTTTATAATAAAAAATATTGTAGAAAGTAATAAGAAAGATGTCTAAAAATAAAGTCTTAATTTTCTCTGTAAGATTATTCATAATTCATGATTTCAGATTGGCTTACGTTTAAATAAATATTTGACGTAAAATCATATCGAAATCTGAACAACAATAAACAAAGTCATTAAATTGATTACATAAAATTTGGCATTCAAATAATAACTGCAATGCACAATTAGCATTATCTATAAAGTTTCTATACCATTTGCACGGTTGCTGATATTCAACAGACGAAAATAAGGTATTTCTGAGCAATTATTTCAAGTCTTACAGACCAAATAAAAATATTAGGGCATAGTTAAAAAAGAATTAAAAACAAAACAAAATTGCCTCTCCATATGTAGAAATTATTCTGTGCGTACATTAGACGGTCCGGAGACCGAGCAAAGAAGTGATGTGACGCATTCTAGTTAGTCTCTAGATGCCGTCCGCAATCCGCACAGAATAATTTTTCTGCATTTGATAAAGTATTACTATATGAGTTATGCACATTTTCACTAGGTCAGCATTTCTAATTGCATTATTCTCTTTTGATATTCATATAAATCACAAAAAAAAGAATATATATCAAAATGCCAACAAAATATGCATGGGCAAAAAAAAAAAAGGAAAAAGAACAATAGCAATGCAACCAATACAAAAGCGATTACTCCATCTTATTATAACATGAAAAGCACATAATAATCTGAAGCTTGTCGAGCTTATCGTTTCTGATATGGCGAGCTATTACTTCTGGAACTCTAGAACAGTATAGAAATGGTCAAGATAAAGGGCTCTAAAGCTGGGAAAGCCAGCAGCGAGGCCGAGCTGCTTGAATTCCTCCTCTGTGCGCTCCTTACCCTGAGAACGATAAATGGTCATCACAAAGATATCGCCTTCAAGCAGGGCTCGAGTTCTCTGGCTGCTGTCAGTCCTCTCTGGCACCACTGGCTCGCACGCAATCACCTTCCCATCGACTGGCAGAGCATTATAGCAGTTCTTCAATATCAACTGGCACTCTTCATCAGTCCATGTCGTCAACACCCACTGCATTTTTTTCATTTTGGTTTCAAACTTAAGGGAAAATTCTATAAGATGGTGGTGAGACCTGCAATGCTTTATGGTGCTGAATGTTGGCCATTACCCTTAGAGATGGATACGAAGTGCGCATATACGTGAAAATGTTGGAGTAGCTACAGTGGAAGATGAGATTAGAGAGAGTCGTCTTAGATGGTTTGGTCACATTAAATGGAGGCCTTCCGACGACTCAGTTAGGAAAGTTGAGGTTTTAGATTTGTCTTATGTTAAGAAAGGTAGAGGTAGACCTAGAAAGACTTGGTTAGAAAATATTAGAAATGATCTTTCTTTATTAGATTTAAGTGAGAATTTGATTTTTAACAGGATACGATGGTGAAGAAGGATTCATGTAGCCGACCCCACATAGTGGGATAAAGGGTTGATGTTGTTGTATTTTGGTTTCATAACAAGGTTAAGTGAATATTCATACAGAATTCTTCAGGCAACATAAGAGATTTATAGGGAATGTTTGCCAGATATAAGGGAGTTGTTTGCTACAGGTATGATTAAGTAAATTATGAGAGAAGTAAAATTTGACAATTATTTGATACGACAAATGTTAAATTTCGCTAAATACAAATAGGTTGTATTGGTATTTTGTTTCAGAATTTATGATTTTGTAAGAGGATAAATTATTAAACTCATCAAAGCTTCTGAAATGTTGGGATCGAAGAAATGCAGCATTAAAACAATATAGGAGCTGAAACAGGATCCTTCAAAACATAGGATTTAAAGTTTCTAAAACTTTGTTTGGTAGGATTTTAGCTAAAATGCTTAAATTTTGCCCCCAAGGAAATTGTGGAAGTCAAAAATCTTGAAAATTTTGACAAAATAGAAATTAAATTTAGTTAAATCCTAATATATCATATATATATTTTCAAGAATTAGGATTTATATGAAGAGAACTGGTGTAAATCCCTCAAATCTTTCTTCCCCTGGATTTACTAAACTTGGAAAAATATAAGCTAAATCCTGACTAAGGTTTCATTTTGGACAGCTTTCTTACAGCTTTTTAAAACAGTTTTTTAGTACAAAAAATTTTTATACTAGAAAACTATTTTAAAAAACAATAAGAAAGTTATCACAAATGAATCCTACATCTTGTTGGCCAAATCATGCAGCCATACAGCCCCTTTGTTTTTTTACTGGAATAGCTAAATATGTCCATATGATTGATTACTTGCATGAAATGTGTCTTACCTTCATGAAGATGGCGTCACCGTTTGGGATGGACTTGAACATATCCCCGCCCACATGCGTTACACCTGAAAATAGCGCAACCAATAAATTAAGATGTATTTAGATACCGTTTCCATGTTTCAGGAGTTCGCGGTGCAGCAAAGGCGTGCAGAGCCACGGTACACAACAAAGGGATGACATGGCACGTTCTGGTTGACCTCCAGATGACTTTTGGCGTCCGCATAGAATAATTTTTCGTTAGCTTGACATCTTGAAATATGATACGCTTGAGTATTTATATAAAATACATAATATCATGATATGGTTTTTTAGTTCTATTATTCGTCAAAATTTAATTTTATGTTAAATACAAATTGAGCTCAAAATTTAATCCTTCTAAAAGTCAAGATGGCTTATCTTGAAAGTATTTATATGTTGAGTTGAACTGCATTTGAAATTTTGATTTTGAATCAATTCAATTTCTCTTCAACTAAACCTATTATAAGTTCCTAATCTTATTGGAGGAATATCCAAATAACCTAAATTTCTTTTTTATTATGTAATATTCAATTAAAGACTAATATCCCTTTAACACAAATATTTCTTATTAATACCTATTTTTTATTTATATTCATCTGCAATTATTATTTACATTGATTTATGAGGGACAAAATATGTGGCTTAAATTCATCACCTTGGAGAATATAACCTTATCCTCCAAAGATCCTTTTACCTGGTTGATTTAGTTTGTTAAGATCATCTCCAACCAAAAATCTCATTTTACAGTCTAAAATACAATAATAATCTAGAATACAGTAATTCATCTTCAACCGAACTCTATTTTTAATATAAAAAAAGAATATACTCATTCTTTCTCCAACCGGAAAAAACAAAGAAAAAAACGGCGTACGTGAACAGCGCGACGCCAATATTGGCATCGTAATGTCCACCTCGCACAAAATGGCGCTGAATATGGAGTTCGGTTAGAGCTCCGCAGCCACTGCAAACGCTCATTTCGGGTTCAATTAGAGATGCCCTAAGGTAATTTGCATATCACAAAATTCATATGTATTTATATATTTAATTTCACTATATATATAATCTTAAAAGATTTTAATATTAATTTATGTAAAATAAATTCATCTTCTCATGCATTTGTTGAATGTAATTTAGACATTAAAATGCTATATAAATGAATATAAAAATTTATATATTAGATAAATATATCGCAATATAAGAGTGTGTATTATAAGTAGAAATGTTCTTCGATTAGACAATGCGAGAAATGCCAGACTATATCTTTCCTCAGATCTGAGGAAAAAGTCCAAAAAACCAATCGCGCACCAGCCAAATGAACAAACATTTACAGCAACTCACCATGAAACGCCGGCGCTCCGGCGACGACCTCCGGCAAGTCGAAGTTAATTCCAGCCTTAATTCCAGGTACACTTCGCATGATCATCTGAAGACACGCCCCCGAACTCCCTCCAACATCAACGATCGTCCCAACCCCATCCAATCCCCCGGCCGCGCCGTACTCACCAAGAAAAGCCTCCATGAACGGGACCGAAACGCCCCACATCGCTCTCCGCATCAAATCATTCGCCGCATCGTCTCCTCCATAATACGAATAGGCCGGGACGCCGCCGTTCGCCCGCGAGAACGGTTCCGGCCCGTCGGGATCCAGGACCGCCTCGTGCAGCAACGGCCAGGCCCGCACCAGAGCGTCCTGGTGGTGCTGCAGCACGTACGGCGCGTACGATACGCCTCCGTTGGACTCATCGTCATCGGCGACTAGGGTTCGTCCGATCTCGGTGAGGCTGTAGCGGCGATCGACGCCATCGTGGTGTTCGGCGAAGACGTTGTGGCTGGAGAGGAGGCGGAGGAGGCGTTGGAGGTTAGAAGGGGAGGCGGAGGAGGAGAGGTTGAGATGTGCGAGGATTTCCGCTGCGCTGAGAGGGGAATTAGATCCGGATTGCCAGATGGCATCGGGGACGTTGAGGCGGACGATGGCGTTGAGGGCCATGGGAACGGAGAGCATGTTCGAGAGCTCCATCATCGCTAGTCTTGCTGATTTCTTGATTTCTCCGCCGGAGGCCGCCATGGCTGATTCGTATTTCTCGAGAAGAGCAGGGTTTCACTCTGTGTTGGGGAAGGCGATCGTCTTTTTCAGGAGTGCCAAAATTTTAATAGCGAAGTGTTAATTGAATATAGTGTAAAATGAATAATTTGTATTTATTTGGTTGAGTCTAAAAGAAATTAATAAAATTATTTTTTATTTGATTTGAAGTAAAATGAATGTAATGCAAAATGTAAAAATAGTAATGGTAGATGATCAATATTGGTGGTGGTGTGGCCGACCGTGGTGGGTTGAGGCCTATGGTAGTCGGCTACGGTCGGCCGATGGCGGTGGTGGGTGCTGATGAGCGACTGCCGGTCGGCGGTGGTAGGCAGTGGGTGGCATTGGGTTGTGGGATGCAGTTGGCTAGCGGAGGTCGGTTGGTGGTGCTAGTGTCCAACCACGGGCGATCAATGATAGCAAGTGGTGGCTGGTGGTGACGACGATCAGTCATAATTGTCAAGAATATTTCGTGTATTTGTTGCCATCGCTGCTATTTCTTTTGCTATGGGATAGTTACTAAAATTTACCTTCATCTTTACCTGTTGCCATCCATGAAGCCATCGCTGCTATTCATATAGTTAGTGACTTTGTTACTTGCGTCAACTAGAAAGGAATTGCAAGCTGAAACTATCACACACTACTTTTGAAGTAATTTTTTTTATGGATAATAAAATAGGGCTCTACCCCTAATATCCTCAGCTCCAAAAAAAAAAAGTATTAATTTTTTTGGAGAAGTCCGGCGTCAGGTGGTGGTCCGACAGAACTCCGACATCAGGTGATGGTCCGACGAAAGTCTAGGCATCAGTTGGTGGTCCGACAAAACTCCGGCGTCAGGCGGTGGTCCGGCAGAACTCTGGAGTCAAGTGGTAGTCATGCAGAACTCCAGCATTGGGCGGTGGCCGGGTAGAAGTCCATGCATTAGTGGTTCTGCAAAACTTCGGCGTCAAGCAGTGGTCTGAAAGAATTCTGGCGTCATGTGGTGATTTGGCAGAACTCCGATGTCGGGCAGTGGTCTGGCGGTACTCTGGTGTTGGTTGGTGGTCCGGTAGAACTCCAGCATTAGATGGTGGTCCGGCAGAACTGCAGCGTTAGATGGTGGTCTGGCAGAACTCTGACGTCAGGAATTGGTAAGGTAGAACTCCGGCGTCAGATGGTGGTCTGATGAAACTCCAGGCGGTGGTCGAGGAGGCAAGATCGATCTCCAATCTCTCTCTTACTTCTTTTCCTTTTGCTTGAGCCTCTTCTTATGAGAAATGATGGTCTATTTATAAATTTTTGATAAATAGGAGAAAGATTAAAGGTAAATTGGGAGTGGTTTGAATGGACGATCGATGTTGATCCCCTTGATCGTGGACCGTCTACTGGACATTTGAATGTCATAGTAAAATTGGAATTTCGTGATCTTGGGCTTGTTGGATTTGTTCTGTCGAGATGCTCGATTAGACTATAAGCATGTCCGGTTTGGAAACCGTTTGGTAATCCAAATTGTGGTTTAAAGCTTCAAACAGCGCTTTGGGTCTTTGATTTGAACCCATTTGGGCTCGGATTGAGTCGGATTTGGTGGCATTGGGTTCGTATTTTTGAGATGTTCAGTTTGAATGTAAGTTTGCTAGAATCTGAGTTCGGATGGTCCCAATTTTAATTTCGAAAATTTCCAACTTGATTTTGCCTTAAGATTCGTGCCCGATCATGTTAATTTTTTGATGATATATCAGTATTGTTACTAAAATTATTTTTTATAAGTGCTTATTAATTTTTTATGCTTTTATTAAATTTTTATTTAGAAAATATTTAATTTAATTTATATTGATTAATAATTATTATAGTTAAAAATTATTTTTTATGGATATACAACAACAACAGCAACATCACGCCTTTATCCCACTACGTGGAGTTGGCTACATGAATCCTTTTTTTCTCCATTGTGTCCTATTAAATGTCAAATTCTCGTTTAAATCTATTAAAGAAAGGTCATTCCTAATATTTTCTAATCAAGTCTTTTTAGGTATGCCTCTACCTTTCTTAACATAAGTCAAATCTAATACCTCTACTCTCCTAACCGGGTCATTGCAAGGCCGCCGTTTTATGTGACCAAACCATCTAAGGCGACTCTCTCTAATCTTATCCTCTACTGGAGCTACTCCAACCTTTTCACGTATATGCTCATTTTGTATCCTATTTCTAAGTATAAAGCCACTCATCCACCTGAGCATCCTCATCTCTGCCACACTTAACTTAGTATTATGCTTCTCTTTTAATCGCCAACATTCAGCACCATAAAGCATTGCAGGCCTCACTACCATCTTATAGAATTTTCTCTTAAATTTGAGTGGTACTTTTCTATCACACAACAAGCCTGATGCATTCCTCCACTTCAACCATCCAACTTGAATTCTGCTGATAATATCCCCATCTATTTCACCATCAAATGTGGATATAAGAAAAATAAATGCAGATCTGCGACTTGATGATGATTCTAGACCATTACACAAATTATCTGAACTATCCACTTATGAGGAGGACAAAAAAGTTAATCACTTCAATTGCCCGACTTTTGATGATCCCAATTAAGACACTTGATGCTAAAAATAGTTTTATGATCAAGAATATTGATACATGTGGTTCGATGGAGTGTTTTAGATTATGGATATATTTATGCGGCATATAACTCTTAAAAATCTATATATAGACCCCCACTTTTTATATGAGAAAAAGCTTTGACTTTAGCTTGTGATTCAAGATATAGCTTATAGGCCCAAGGAATCCCACAGTTCCTCCCAAGCAGAACCGCTGGACCATTGTCTGACCGCTATTACAGACCATTGTCCCCCGACTACATTTCTCTAACTTGTCCCACAACAAAAATCCTCTAACCACTATCTTCTAACTATAATCATTTGAACACTATAACCCAACTATGATCATCTAATCACCATCGTCCAACTACGATTTTCTAACCACGATCCTCCAACCATAATTGACACACTTCTATCCTTTGAACAACTCGACTACTGTCCTCTGAGCATTATTGTTTAACTACAGTCCTCCAACCATAGTTGTTACTACAATCTTCCTACAATTGTCGCCCAATTTTGATCTTTTGACCACACTCACTAGACTGTGATCCACTAACTATAATTACCTAACTATGATCTTCCAAACACCATCACCCAACTACAGTCTTCTGACCAACATCGCGTGATTATAGTCCTCCGATCACGACTCCCTAACTATAGTCCTTTGCCACCATCGCCAGAATATGATTCTCTGACCAATATTGATTATGGTCATTTGACCACCATTAACCAATTGTGAACCTCTAACCATTATTATTTGGCTACACCAATGCTCACTGACATCATCACCTGCATTGCCCAATATTGTCATTGCCCATCATTGATCATTAGGCTAATGCATACCGTTGACATAAACTTTGTCTCCCAACATCAACATTAGGATTTATATTGGAATTCTTGCATGGTATCTAATGTCCCCTCCTCAAAGGAGTAAGGTTGAATAAACATCAAGTTACCTCTTAAAAATAACTCTCATGCTACAAAGCTCTCCAACTTCCACTACAAATGCATTCTATGTATTGGAAGTCTACTATATTATATAAATACATTCCCCATTCATGAGAAAGGATAACGTATATAGTCGAAGATAAATACCAGAGAATTATTTCATCTAGACCTTATTTCATGATTTATATCTTTAGAGTTTTTCACATAAAAATTATAATGTCTTTTACAGCTCTTCTCTTATTTATGTGTGTAATAGATCTTCATATAATGCGAAGAAGTTTAGCTCTTTCACTTTAATAAGCTGGCTTGCAACTACATCAAGGACTTCCCAATACTATAACAACAAGTTACCTTCCATGATTCATATCGACAATATTGGTCTTCGAAATTCTAACGACTATATGCGTTAGGGAAAACCCTACTAATGATCCGTTATAAATGATCTGCACAAACACTTTTGCATTCAAAAGTCTGATTCTTGCGTTCCATCTTTCTGAAAAGACGATTGAAAAATGTTCATAACCAGTCGAGAAATTAACTGAGAAGCCACCGAATCTTCTTAGTTTTGATCGTGACAGAGTAGCTGAACATCGGATACATATATAGATAGAGAGACAAATAGAAAACATTCACAAGGTATGCTAAATTGTGCCCGCCCGCCGGCGAGGTAGCCACAGACGCCGGAGGCAGCGCCGGAACCAGTCAACGGTGGAGAAAACAACTGAGGCGAATGCAAAGCCGGCACCACTCGCTGAGCAGAATACGCACCTTTGCCCTTCTTCCAACGCCGAGTGGCAAATAGAGCACTCGCCATGGCTCAACCGCCGAAGCTTTTCTTCTTTGGCAAAGTCGAGAACGGGAATAGAGCCAATGCCAACGGTCTTCTTTCCTGCATCGGCGACGGCGGGAAAGAGTACGGTCGTCGGCGGAGGTAGAGGCGGGGGTGGTTCGTCAACAGAAGCAGGACGAAGTGTGCGTAAAAGGTAGTTGATGATGAGGAGTGTTAGAGCTATGGAGGATAAGATGGCGGTGGCGGTGAGGAGAGGAGGTAGAAGGATCTCCGGCGGCGACAGGAGCGGTGCCGGAGATGGAGATGGAGAAGGAGACGGAGAGGGGCTGAGTCTGCAACGCATGTTAGTACTCATGCATGGGGACTTAGCGTAGCGAGGCTTAATATGAATTCGATTGATTTCTTTTTAGAACTAACTGAGGAACAAATGTTTATTAATATCAATTATTAAAATAAATACGTTTTTTTTTTCTATATATATATATATATATATTTATTTATTTATTTGAAGCTCAGTTTCAAATGAGGATGAGCGTGCACGGTCCAATTAATCAGTAATCAGACAGATAATGTGATTTGGATATACGGAGGCTAATAATGGGTTGAAGATGAATTTCTATTTGATATGAGTGTTTCAAAGTGAAAAATAAATATTTCAATTAGATATGCCCTCATTATTCTCTCTCTCTCTCTCTCTCTATATATATATATAATTAAATTTAATTAGCCTGTTCAAGCAAACTTAAAAATTGATTATTTTGCTTATAAACATGCACATTAATTATCTAATGATTTCTTAATTTTATTAAAGTATTATAAAAATATTTAATTGATGATTACTTAAACATTTACTTTATACCTTATTTTATATATTTAGCATTTTTTAGATCTCAAATATTTAAAATTTTATGAATATAATTAAAGATATAAATATGATTAAAATATCACATGAATAATTAGATATATAGACATTAAATTTTTTCTTACTAAGATTTTAATATCATCAAACAACTTAAATAATATCTCATAAATGATGTCAATTTTGATTAAAATCTATATATGTAAATATATTTAATAATAAGATTTATGTTGAATCTAAAATTGTCCATAAATCACAACAAACTATATTAAGAATACTAAGAAAAATAAGTAGATAAATAAAGAGAGAAAGAATGAGCTATAGAGTGAGAAACTTTTAAGATTTTAATAAAATAAAATTGAGTATATAAAATAACATAAACTGATCTCACCACTTGACTAAATAGACTGAGATTGGAATTAGTGCGTCACAAACCTCATACAAACATGATCATGGCATCTTATAATCGGCCAATTAAGGCTTCGTTTGGGATGACTTTCTTACTACTTTTTAAAGCAGATTTCTAATACAAAAATTAAAATTTTTGTACTAAAAAATTGATTCAAGAAGCAGGAAAAAATCAGTCATAAACAAAGCCTAAATTGCCAAATTTTTAAGCACCATTGATTAGGGCGACAGGTGAACCAAATCAACCGTTCCTAAAATCAATTCACAGTTGAGCTAATCGAATCACTCAGTTCGGTCCAATTTTGAAAGTGTTGGCTGAACCATAAATTTCATTGTTGAAAATAGGCATAAATGAAGATAAACAGTGAGGGATAATTTAACGGTTCATGAAATTGGAAAGCTTCGGATACTCAGAAACAGCAAGTATTATGAACTTACATGTCACCTATTCCTTGTCTTAATAATCTTGCCTCTGGCAGCCTTTTTCTCCAGCTTTTCCCTCTTCTTTCGAGCTTTCTCGTCCTCAACACCATTCTGCAAATATAAACAATTTGTTTCACACGAACGACTTAGGCTTCGTTTGGAACAACTTTCGTTCTAAAATAGTTTTTTAATGCAAAAATTTCAAATTAAAAAAAAAATTGTACTAAAAAACTGTTTTAAAAAGCAAAAAAAAAACCGTCCCAAATGAAACCTTACATAGTCGGAATAGGTTTCAGCATACCTCTGAGCCTAGTGATAGGAACCCTTTTATGAAGCCAAAGGATTTGTATGCAGCAAATGCTGGTATCTGTAAACAGTGCAGTTTGTTGGGTTAATAATGTCCGAGATTCAAAACTTATTAACCAGGTTGATATGTGCATTAGGTGGGATCAGAAATTTGATCTAATCGGGTGAGAATTTTGACATAATTTTTAATATTTGGGTTAGAAATTTCAAGAATTGATTCTAGAACTTTATTTTTAACAAGTTTATAGTTGAGATAATGTTATTTGATGAGATTAATCTATGGGATAGAAATCAAGCAATTTGAGTGCAATCGAGCTTAAATCAAATACTAATGATTATAATTTGAAACTTTTCTAGACGATTTATGAGATCAAATATCCTCCAAAATTTGCATACCTAAAGTCGAAACGAGCATTTTGACGAGATGAATTTAATGATCAGTCCAATCAATTATTAGTTCACAAAGGCGTCGAGATGTCCAAAAACTGTAAAATAATCAAGGGAAATCAATTCAAAATATCAAATGGAGTGTTCATGATTCTTACATAAATCGGTAGAATGTTACCTCTTGAAATCTATAAGCTATGCTCCTACACATTAAAGAACTTTGAGGGGAGAGAATTCCTAAGTTTAGAGAATTACAAAATTATGATTACCATTTTGAACACTAAGCAACCAACTTTGGAATTTTGGAGTCTCCTCTTATCAGGAAAGCAACCAAGTTAACTACAAAATGTTGCTTGACTTTTTACATTCACCGTTAATCATTATCCGACATATGCTAATGAATGACATACAAAGTCTATCAAGAAAATGACTAAGTCAATTGTTCATTATTGTCCAACTTTGATGTTTGCTATCAATCAATGTTAGTCGGTCAATCTCCACTCCTACCAAGACACAGATCAAGTTGACTGCTCACCTTAGCCTAACATATGACGCACTTGGTTGAACATTATATAATGTCTAACGACCAGCTTACTGGTTGCTAGACCATCTACTCTATCAAGTGAGTGACCACGCAAAGCTTCTCATTTTCACTTGAATTTTTAGAAAGGTTTTCTCCACTCCTACCAATCTCCACTTCTATCAAGATAGAAATCATGTTTAATTGTTTATAAAGGTTTTCCAAATTATACTTAATTATTTAAGAATATTTCCTAAATTATGTTTATGCTGATTATGAATGTTCTATTTATTTAGAAAAGTTTTCTAGATTATCTTTATGCTGATTATGAAAGTTCTAATTGTGCTATTGTATTTTAGGGCTATTTAAGGGAGAGTTTGTCTATGGTTTAAGATATGTTATGGCTAAACTTATTTTCATAGTTTTTTTTTTTTTAATAAAACCCCACGGAAGAGGCCTACGCATCAATGAAGAGAAAAAAGTACAAGTCTAGAATGACTCCAAAGCTCGCTAAAATATAGCAAATGAAAGATAAAAACCTAAGAGCCTCGGAATTCACCAAAAAACAAAAATCAAGACAGTACAAAAGGAAGATAAGCCTAAGCACAAACAAACAAAAAAGGACTCAGAGGAAGTCATCAATTGCCCAGCAAACAAACGTCTACAACCAAAGCTACAAGGTCATCCAAAGCCGTAGCCCAAAGATCCAAAAAACTGGCACCACCAACAGCAACCTCATAGCTCCAAAGCAGCAACCACCAAGCCAACCCCAAAAAATCAACTGTTTTTTTGGATTTCCTCTTTCTTCGTTTGCCCATCTGAACAAAAGTATGACCACGACTATCACTCGGATCAACTAAGTCATCATGTTCAAACACTTCCTTTTCACCATCCTCATAAGGAGAAGAAAGAGAGCCTTCAAGCCAATCAATTTGCTCCAAAATATTTTCCTCGAACTCACGCCCACATGAGCATACAAGGCGTTAGCAGAGAGTAAAGCAAATGGAATATCAACAAGCTATTCATTCACGCCCAGTCCTACAGAGGAGACCGACACAAACAAATCAGTAGGCATCACAGGTGAAACAACAGAAGGATCCAACTCATTAGAAACAATGTCCACCACCCACATATTAACATCATAAAGTTCTTTATCATCCACATTCAGCAGCTCATTATCAGCAATAAGACCAACAATGTCAGGACTTACAATCTCAATCTCGTCCTGAGGGGAAGCTGCCAAGACATGATCACCCACATCACCATCATCACAACACAGAACAACCCCACAATTCTATGATGGAGGAGCATCAGAAACAAGGATCACCGAATCATTCTCAATTGCCCTCCCCGAGGGAGTAACTGACTCAAGCAGAGGCAAAACAATACCAAGAAAGGCACTCGGCCAACCCCCATAGCTCCCCCGCCCGATCCCGCCGCTGCTTCGGCCTCGTCGTGGCCAATCGACTTCGCTCCTTCGACCGACTTTCCCTTCCTATTTCATCGGAAGCACAAACGGAAGCTCGCTGGCGTGAAGGTAAATTTCTCCCTTATCGCGCGCTTCTGCGGCCTATTCCCGAGGGCAGAGAGGAAGTCAAGGGAGGGGGAGATTTTATTATTATTATTATTATTTAATAATAATAAGAATATATCTATAATTATAATTATAATTATAAGTATAAATATATTAATTAATTATAATTAATTAAAATTATTATTTTAATTAATCAAAGTTTATGAATTAATTATTGTTAATTAATTATATATTATTAGAATTAATTAATATTAATTAAGTTATAATTAATTCTAAATAAATTATAACTTATTATCTTAATTAATAAGCCCTATACACGCTACACACGTTCTTGTAGCATAGTGGGGACTGTCCTCGACCTCGACATCGACGCCAACGACTGCTACGCAAGGTATAATGTTCTAAATCCCACTTTCGTTGTTTGTGGCGGACCGAAGAACCACATGTACGCGCTCTTGTAGCATGGTAGGAGGGAGCTTGGTGCGACGCATACGGCGAGGTGGGTAGGCCCTATACACGCTCTTGTAGCGTGGTGGGGAGAGCCACTGGTGTTCTCGTACGGGTACTGTTGAAGGCCCCATAGACACTCTTGTAGCGTGGTGGGATGAAAAGATGTATGTCCGCGATGTCTAAGGACACCTACCATACACGCTCGAGTAGCGTGGTGGGAAGGCCTAGCTCCCCTACTTTCCCCCAAACGGGGATATGCCGAGGTGCTGCCAAAATTTTCACTGAAATACACAACACTTGAACAATTTGAAAACATCATTTGAGCAGCAATACGAAAGACAACAGAGGACTCGTACTTGAACTGAAAGCATAGAAGTTGGACTCAAATGAACAATGGACTTGTGGACCTAAATCTGAACAAAACTCAAATGATTAATAAAAGGTCAAATCCAAATGAAATAAGATCAAACTGGAACCAAATTCAAATCAATACAAATATGAAATTGAACTTGTAAGGACTTCAGAAGACCCTGAACAAGCATGTGAACATGTATTTTGAACTCGAACCGGATTGAATACAAGGGACCTGTGAACTTGAACTTGGACTTGAATTCAAAAGAAACAAATACTAAGAGCTTAAACTTGCTACTTAAACTCAAGCATGAGCTGAATATGAGAACTTGCAAGGACTTATGAACTTAGACTTGACTAGAATCAAGCCTTCAGTGTACTCAAGTGAACGTTGACGAATAAATGAGCTTGCGACATAACTTGCTTGCAAACATGGGTCAATGAAATTCAAGAGGAAATGCAATAATACGAGTGCAAATGATTGTACGAATTCCTCAACAAATGAACAATATGAAAGTCATAGTGCTCAAATCAATCAATGTACGAGAAAGAAAAGAGGGATGTGTAATGCAAATGTCCATCTCAAATGCAAAATAAAAGACTTGTAACAACATTAATTAACATTCTACAAATATACGCAAGGGGATCATAATGAATGCAACAGACTCCTACAACAGTCCCTACAAGGTCAATACACTATGCTTGTAAGCAACAACAGACGATTGCAAAGTGTACGAGTACTACCCATATGTAGCAATCAAAGATCTATCCCTACAGCAAATGCAATCATCAAACCACCTGAGATTGATGAAAGGTGGATAGATAGGGACAACGACTCTTCTACAAACACTTTCAGGAGGTCGTAGTGGATACATCGGTCCCCCGCAAATATACATGAGCCGCTTGTGGATAACAACAGTGGATATATTATATGTACAACGAACCACTGTGGGCACAAGTACAAATGTCACCCATAATAACAGTGATTGAGATGATACAAATATGTTGGATATGAAGGCAACTCGATATACAAAAAAGACATCTCCTGGCAGAATGGAAGAGATGTTTGAATAAATTAGAACTAAACTTTCTGGTGTTCCAAAATTTTTTTTTAGTCCTATACTTGAGAAGAAAACAATTTTGGTGTCCACAAACAACGGAAACAACAAGTCTATTACACTGAGGATCCTAAAAAGAAGTTCTTTGTAAGGTAGTGGCCACGAATCTCAAGAAGAGCCTCCCCGATGAATGAGAAAAAGGGAGTCAACATCAAGATGAGGAGATGCCACATAACATCAAGACCATAACGCCATCGGATCTACAACACTTATGCAAGTAGACAAAAGGCATCTACAATCTACAACGCACCGCCACCGGATCCGCGACATCCATACAAGCGGACAGAAAGCGTCTACAAATAATTTCAAACTACCCCCACACATACATTGTAGCTTGTATACACATAGGTACACTAAAAGGGGGTATACAATCAAGCACCTGCATGGGCCCCGACATGTGTGTTATTGGTACACACATGACGTCTAGGGATGCTACGCGGGTCAAACAAATTGAAACCCGATCCTCCTGAGCTGGTAAAAAAGAGTCGACAGGGTTTAATTATAAAATGCTCTAAATACCCGCATGGGCCCCGACGAGCGTGTTATTGGTACACATGTGATGTCTAGGGATGCTGCGCGGGTTAATAAGTGAATTCAAGTTCGAACCCGATCCTCCTAAGCAGGTAAATAGGAGTCGACAGGATTTCGAACCATCAAATAAAGACATGGTTGTGGCGACCGGTGTATTTGTTTTAATTCAT